GTTAAAAGTGAGGAAATGGCCTTGGTTGTTAGTTATCACGTGTTCTTAAGAAAAATGAATTTGATACAGATGTACAAAATGATGGCTTAATAAACATGCATGCAATGATTTTTTTTTTTTTTTTTTGAGGACGGGTAAGGGGAACAGAGAGTGGGGGCGCATTGCCATTGATGGCTGAGTATAGTGTTGGATTACACACCTTCAGGTGAAAACCTGAGGTATGTGGTTCAACAATCCCTTCCTGTTGTAGTTGGAGTTTCACAGAAGCTTGGTTTTCGCAGACATGGTTTTGCCCTAATTTTGATCTAATTTGATTTTGATTACATGTGAATGGGCTTTACTTCTTACTCAAAGTCTGGGAGTGGGCTTATTTCAGGACCCCAAGGGGCCAACACATTATCTCTTACTCAAAGTCTGGGAGTGGACTTATTATAGGACCCCAAGGGGCCAACACATTATCTCTTACTCAAAGTCTGGGAGTGGACTTATTATAGGACATTAAGGGGCCAACACATTATCTCTTACTCAAAGTCTGGGAGTGGACTTATTATAGGACATTAAGGGGCCAACACATTATCTCTTACTCAAAGTCTGGGAGTGGACTTATTATAGGACCCCAAGGGGCCAACACATTATCTCTTACTCAAAGTCTGGGAGTGGACTTATTATAGGACATTAAGGGGCCAACACATTATCTCTTACTCAAAGTCTGGGAGTGGACTTATTATAGGACATTAAGGGGCCAACACATTATCTCTTACTCAAAGTCTGGGAGTGGACTTATTATAGGACATTAAGGGGCCAACACATTATCTCTTACTCAAAGTCTGGGAGTGGACTTATTATAGGACATTAAGGGGCCAATGCATTATCTCTTACTCAAAGTCTGGGAGTGGACTTATTATAGGACATCAAGGGGCCAACACATTATCTCTTACTCAAAGTCTGGGAGTGGACTTATTATAGGACATTAAGGGGCCAACACATTATCTCTTACTCAAAGTCTGGGAGTGGACTTATTATAGGACATTAAGGGGCCAACACATTATCTCTTACTCAAAGTCTGGGAGTGGACTTATTATAGGACATTAAGGGGCCAACACATTATCTCTTACTCAAAGTCTGGGAGTAGACTTATTATAGGACATTAAGGGGCCAATGCATTATCTCTTACTCAAAGACTGGGAGTGGACTTATTATAGGACATTAAGGGGCCAACACATTATCTCTTACTCAAAGACTGGGAGTGGACTTATTATAGGACCCCAAGGGGCCAACACATTATCTCTTACTCAAAGACTGGGAGTGGACTTATTATAGGACATTAAGGGGCCAACACATTATCTCTTACTCAAAGTCTGGGAGTAGACTTATTATAGGACATTAAGGGGCCAACACATTATCTCTTACTCAAAGTCTGGGAGTGGACTTATTATAGGACATTAAGGGGCCAACACATTATCTCTTACTCAAAGTCTGGGAGTGGACTTATTATAGGACCCCAAGGGGCCAACACATTATCTCTTACTCAAAGTCTGGGAGTGGACTTATTATAGGACATTAAGGGGCCAACACATTATCTCTTACTCAAAGTCTGGGAGTAGACTTATTATAGGACATTAAGGGGCCAATGCATTATCTCTTACTCAAAGACTGGGAGTGGACTTATTATAGGACATTAAGGGGCCAACACATTATCTCTTACTCAAAGACTGGGAGTGGACTTATTATAGGACCCCAAGGGGCCAACACATTATCTCTTACTCAAAGACTGGGAGTGGACTTATTATAGGACATTAAGGGGCCAACACATTATCTCTTACTCAAAGTCTGGGAGTAGACTTATTATAGGACATTAAGGGGCCAACACATTATCTCTTACTCAAAGTCTGGGAGTGGACTTATTATAGGACATTAAGGGGCCAACACATTATCTCTTACTCAAAGTCTGGGAGTGGACTTATTATAGGACCCCAAGGGGCCAACACATTATCTCTTACTCAAAGTCTGGGAGTGGACTTATTATAGGACATTAAGGGGCCAACACATTATCTCTTACTCAAAGTCTGGGAGTAGACTTATTATAGGACATTAAGGGGCCAATGCATTTCTGCTTAAAAATCAAAGATTGGGCTAATTACAGGACACTGAAAAACATTACTAAATAATATCTCTGTATAGTAATATATACATAAATATATGGATGGGCTTATCACTAGGCATGGGCTTATCACCAGGCATGGGCTTATCAGTAGGTGTTGGCTTATCACTAGGCTTATCACTGGTAACCTACAATATGATGTGAGAGAAATAATTAACATTATTAAAAGGGTATGTGTAGGTGAAACTGATATGAGCATCAAGGGGTATTTCTACAAATACTGTTCATGAATAAATCTCACAGAACTTTCTCTTCACATTAAATGTAAAATTTGAACTTTTAAAATACTCAGTGTCAACTTTTGAGTGACAGATTATGTATGCATGTATGTCGAATGTAAACATACACATATGATCTCTAAAGAAGTATTGATGCATTAGCTGTGTTCTGGCAAATATTCAACTTGTTTGAACATTCTCTTTGATCAAATACCCTACAAGATTTTTTGTCTTATTCATGGAAGAGATCTTTAAGAACATAAAAATTTATTGACATGTTCAAAGTTTAAATCTTTTGTGTCATTCATGTGCATATGCATGCATACATGCATGGTGCATGTGCATGCATGCTTGTTTACAATATGAGTGACCTACCCAATATTCATAACATGAAACAGATCATTATTCCTTGTAGAAATGTACTATAATATCTACACTGATAAACATCACCAAATCCACAGTTAAGTACGTAAAACCGGAAAATGTGTGGTCATTGACTGATTATGGAGATGAGATGTAACACGATGCTGTCTCTCCTAGTCAAAAGGTTTTCCTATACCTTGCCAAGATTTTGACCTTTTCAAGATTTTATGAAGATGAGGTTAGGGTCCCCTTGACACACAAAAACACTTCCCAAGTGAGAACTCAAGATTGTAATTTGCAAATGTTCCTGACCACATCAAATACAACCAAATTTACTTCACCTGGGTACTTAAGGTAGACATATTTAAACGTCATTCAATATCAAAGGTGTGATTTTTTCCATCAGGATTTAATTAGACACAGGGCCCAATGAAGAATTTTTATCAGTTTTCATCAGAAGTAAAAGTTAAAAAGAAGTTATAAGTTAATAACATTTTTTTTTTCAAACCAAGGATTTTATTTTTGTAATTTTCAAGGTCAAAATTAAAGTGAGAATCCTACTGTCTTATCTCTATCATGATTGTATGTAGACAATTTCATAGTTACATGTACTCATATACTTTTTCATTGAATCTATGACATTTCCTAAATATCTGAAAGTAGACCATTATAAAGTATAATAATGATTAAGTAGTTTAAATATTTCAAATTAATTCACAGTAATTTTATTTTTTTTATTCATAAAATAATTTAATTCTCCAACCTGCTAGCTCAATGGATAAATTGTCCACCCTAAAACAATATGCTACAAGCTAATCCCTATATGGGTGTTTTAGTGAATCACATTTCATTTACATCAAATATTTTTCTATAGAAAATGCACAAGCCCTTGATTCAATTGAGTACTTTAAGAAATCTGAACTCTTCTTCAAAAAAAGTACCATTCTTAGCTTTGGGACGCCACCTTAAAGGTTGTCAATACAAAAACTGTCAACATTGTGTACATTTGTAACAGACGAAGTCTCAGAATGGTTTGATGGAAAAAATAACTTCAAACATTATCATGCAGTAAAAAAGTTGGGACAAAAAGACTGTTAATAATGGTATGGACAAAGTGACCGATCAGTCTGAACGATAACACTGACAAAAATTATACATCTGCAATGTCAATCAGAAATACGAAAAAACTTACATCAATGATTTCCTTGAGATATTTTACATAAATCCGTTCTGTTTCTACAATCTCCGCCACCACTCTCTGGACATACGTCACATATTTGGAAGGACTTGTACTGTCTCGGCGTATGAACGAATTAGAGGAACGTGGTGTGACCCCAGGGCTAATCCCTGCCCCTGGGGAATCACTTACTCCTGGAGCTACAGATGAGGCAGGTGGTGTGACACTTGAGTTTTTTGAAGTATCTAGAGATCCCTGAAGTGGACTTGAAGAGACGTTTTCATTACATTGCTTGTTAAGGAAACTCCCTGTATTTGTATCTACAGATTCTTTTTCAATGGCCTCTGTCTCGTTTTTATGATTTTCCAGGTCATTGTTTTCTGATGAATGACTAGCATTTGAAAGACCGCTAGCAGATGACGCAGTGCTAACAGATGACAGAACACTGGCAGAAGAATGAACACTAACAGCAGAACTGTCATACTTTTTCGAGTTTTCACTATCGGTATCCACCGACATATCATCGTCAGCTGTTCCGTTTGGTACGTCATCGTCTATATACATCAACTGATCCAATTTCTCCATGTCACCACGTCCTAACGTCACAGGATCACATTCGCATAAGTTTGGTCGTTTTCTAATGTGACGAGGAAGTGATGACGACGACGAAGAGGACACAGAACTAATGCTGAGTGGACGTTTCTTACTGTCATTAAGATCATGGTTTTGTCCAGTAACATTGCCATGGCAACCATTTCCATCACATGCTGTTTCACCTGAATCTAGTTTGATTAATGGTGGAATTTGTGATGCTGTGTCCTCATTGGTGGAATGGCTGTCTGATATATTATTTGCATTGGTTGAAGAAGATGTGCTTTGGTCATGTGATTGGTCCCCAACATCTTGTGATGTTTTATTGGCTAAAGCAATACTGTCATAGAGAGACAAGAGCGATGGCGCCAGATCTAGGGATGACCCTGAAACAACAAATGTTGTATTATTAGAAAATTATGATCAACAACAGAAGTATCATAAACCAATGTAACGTTTAACTAAACATTTCGGCTCGGCATTTCAGAACTCCTGGGTTACATAAAAATGTATTAAACAGAACTAAATGGTCTGACCAGCTTAATAGCAAGTAGCAGATAGAATATTTTGTAAAAATATTAATTTGGTCATATGGAGATTCGAAGCCAGAAAATGTCTTCCTACTGTGTACAGTTATTTACCTGGCAAATGTGCAAATCTATATACCTGCAGCTTCTCAGAAATTGCATCCATTATGTATTGCATGGTTTTGAATAGCCATATCATTGGAATGCACACCTAAGTAAACTGCCTGGATCACCAAGTAACAAGTGCCAAGAATCTGATCAATTGATTTGTAGAGGTAAGTCTAAATTATATATATATACCTGTACTTTTTTCATTCACAAAATATTCAAGGTGATGTAAAGTACAGAACCAACAGACATTTTAAATGATGGAGCTGAAAGATGAATGTCTGGTTTATACAGGTATCCAGGTTACACAGGTTTAATTTACAGAGAAGTTGATTCAGCTTTATGAAGCCTAGGTATCCAGGTTACACAGGTTTAATTTACAGAGAAGTTGATTCAGCTTTATGAAGCCTAGGTATCCAGATTACACAGGTTTAATTTACAGAGAAGTTGATTCAGCTTTATGAAGCCTAGGTATCCAGGTTACAAAGGTTTAATTTACAGAGAAGTTGATTCAGCTTTATGAAGCCAAAGAGGATTACTTAGATATATACACAGTGGGATTTATATTACATTGTATGAAGTTATATAAATTTTCTCGCTATCAATTATATGTGATATTTTATGTCATATCGGTTACTTAAGTTACCCCCCATCCCTCCATCGACTCATATCAAATAATATTTTTAATAAAACCTCATCCAGAATTTTACAACAATATGATAATCCCCCATCAATACTGTATCAGGGAATTCTTACTTTTACTCTCCCTGGCTTCCTCTTTCTCAAAACTTCTATTTATAATGAAGATGTCCTTGCCCAGATCATCAAGGTCACTTACACAGGAAGTCAGTGCCCTAGATATGCCTAAAAAACAATGTTTCTCTCATAAACCTTTTGATTCTGTCAGTTATTTTGAAGGAGAAAAATGCCCTACTTGGGAAAATTTATAACAAAATTTAAGTTTTGGAAAAAATCTTTTTTCTTTTTCAAACTTTGTTTTGGCGAGGAAAACAGAAAAAGCAGTAAAATAAAACAGACATTTTCGCTCACTTGAATTTATGATTGACAAGAGTTCTGGAGTTATGATGTTTATAAGATACACCAGTAAACATTTACCGGTGTATATCTGAAAGCTGTGGTACGGGTTGTGCCATATGTTTGGGGGACAGGCTGATGGGATCCACAGTCAGCCTGGCCCCAGCGTAACCCCTCAACATACAGCCTAGCCTGTTAATGTAGCCTGTCATCCCTATCGTTCTTCTAAACATTTGCCTGGAATTAACATCAGTATCTAGCATAACAACTTCATGTTTATTCTATTAAGGACTTTGTGAGGATCCAAATGGCACTCTCACCTGTGCTCACGGGAAATCATTCCCGATAATTTACACTGAAGCACTTCCCTGTTATGAATTTATATCGCAGATATAGCATACTCATACAATTAACGGCCGACTGTTTGATAGTTTTGGTAAAAATATCTGTGTGTTTTACTCCCAAGAGTTATGCATTATAAGATATCTGATTCAGAAGTAATGATAACAAAGAGGTCCATCCGGTCTGTATCTGCACTGCAGTAGCGTTCAACAAAGAACTGTGGTCAGATTGTTTTTATCGTCAATACGAATGCGATCAGGACGACAGATAAATAGGTTGACGTCCATAATGACATCATAGCCATTTATCTGTGACCCTGATTGTATTCGTATCTACGTTTCAAATATTATTTTTAATATTATCTTTGGATATCTTATCAAGATAGGTTTTCCCTTGTATATTTATTTGCTGGAGCAGCTCCTGAAAATCTCTATCACCTAAAGATAAGTGTGAATTTATACTGTGTACAACATGCAAAGCATTGAGGTTATGAAGGTCAACATGACGTCACACTATTGTCTTGTGATCTAAAATGTATTTCCATTCCTGTAAAAACAATCCAGACATAGGTCAACACGTCATCAACATGACGTCACACTATTGTCTTGTGATCTAAAATGTATTTCCATTCCTGTAAAAACAATCCAGACATAGGTCAACACGTCATCAACATGACGTCACACTATTGTCTTGTGATCTACAATGTATTTCCATTCCTGTAAAAACAATCCAGACATAGGTCAACACGTCATCAACATGACGTCACACTATTGTCTTGTGATCTACAATGTATTTCCATTCCTGTAAAAACAATCCAGACATAGGTCAACACGTCATCAACATGACGTCACACTACTGTTTTGTGATCTAGAATTTTTTCATATTCAAATACAATCCAAATGAATGTCTCTCTAATGACATTTTCGTAAATGATGTTGAATGATAAAGGATTACCATATAACAAACAGTACCTTACTATTATTTAATTGTAATTAAAATTTGGAAACTATACACCAATAAAGAAGAATTTCTAATAAGTAAATTAAAATGTAGAAAAGAAGTCCAACAATGCAGTCTCATTGAATTAAGCATTTATGTTCATTGTTTTGAAACAACCAATGGTTTTAATGGATTTTTTTAATGTATATCTAATTAACCATCAGTACCATTTTTCAATCAGAGCCTTTAATTCAAAACATTATTCCTTGAAAAATGTCACAAAGGTCACAAGTTCTGATTGAGATGGTTCTAAAGAAGAAGATTTATTAATTTAGATATCAATATATTTCTTGCCTATGCTAACTAATTACATTCCCTTTCACCCAAATTATAATGCAAGTAGATTCAACATCCTACCGAAGGTAACAAACACTGTCATAGGATATCAATTCCCATAGTTTTCATTGATAACCTTTGACTTCCATACAAAGACCCTTTAATACCTCGTATTCTGGTTTCATATAAAAATATCACACCCAGACTAATCTGTCTGTCTGGCTGATTCAACACAACAATAACATTGTCTCCCCTTAAACAAACTTTTCCTGCAATATCATTGTCAAAATACATACTTTTTTAAAAACTTTTTTATGGCAAAGAACAATAACATTGTACTTGATTCATGGTGATGATAGACACACAATACTTACCAAAATAAAACTGAACTCGTGTGTTCACTAAAATATAGCCAATCCAATATCCACAAACTCATTCATGGACTGAACTAGTTTAAGAGTTTTCCCTCACAATAAATTTCACATAATTGACTGGTTAAAATTACAAACTCTACATTTAACATAAAGGTCAAACCTATCTTGGAGATCAAAAGTCTTTGTATAGCTGACCCCAATTTTATAATTTTATTTTCTACATTTAGTCATACCTGTGTATGAAAAATAACCTGATATTTACCTGTGTGTAAGGACCAATCTATATGATCAACAACCTGTGTATAAAGATTATCCAACATCAAACCATCAGATAAAGAAAATCTCCTGATTTACATGTATATAAAATGTAACATATGATGTGCATCATTAAATATGTAGATAGGTCAATTATGAGACACGTCAATGAATGTAGATGTCTTATAATCAATTCATAATTGGACAACGACCAGTTTGTTCAACAGAGTAAAAAGGAAGTGGGTTTAGCTGTTGTATACAGAACATGGGTTACACATTTAATGATGACCAGAAAGCATCCAACAAAATAATCAGCTGTTTATGTTATGTACTTTACATTTTGATGATAAACAAGGCCTGTATCAGATGACACAGGAATCACCAATGTTTAACTCTGATTCAAACCAAACTCAACAAAACACATGTAAACAGAGACAATATACAGAAATACTTTGCTTATCTTCCGGACCCATCAACAAAAGTAAACTGAATACTTCCCTTGTCTTTTTTTATTTTTTTGTGCCATCAATTTCCTGTTACCGATGCTTATGATGAAGTGTGACTTTATTTGAAACAAACAAATGACTGTTAATGTTGAAGTAAAGTCGTTGATACTGATACGAAGCCTCAGTGCCACAAACCTACAGTAAATATGATCTGTTGTTACCCCTCTAACCTCGTACAGATTGACTCTGTTATCTCATCCTTCTCCTGATGAGAACATCAGTCGTGGTCTCCTGATTACTGTGGGCAGGCCAGACCCCAGATTACACAGGAAACACAATACTCAGGCCTGCTTGTTATCAGGTTCTTTCTCTTGTTAAAATAAGATTACATTACTGGTAGGATCTAGATTTATTTCCATCAAAATGGGAATGAAGGGCACATATTTCTTCTGCAGAAAGTTCTCAACAGTGATAAAGACATAAAAAGTTCAAAACTATCAGTAAAATGTAGATGTAGTCTTGTGGAAGGGAGTCAGTGGAGGAGGGGTTGTGTGGAAGGGACTCAGTGGAGGAGGGGTCGCGTGGATGGGAGTCAGTGGAAGAGGGGTCGTGTGGATGGGAGTCAGTGGAGGAGGGGTCGTGTGGATGGGAGTCAGTGGAGGAAGGGTCGTGTGGATGGGAGTCAGTGGAGGAGGGGTCGTGTGGATGGGACTTAGTGGAGGAGGGGTCGTGTGGAAGGGAGTCAGTGGAGGAGGGGTCGTGTGGAAGGGAGTCAGTGGAGGAGGGGTCGTGTGGATGGGAGTCAGTGGAGGAGGGGTTGTGTGGATGGGAGTCAGTGGAGGAGGGGTCGTGTGGATGGGAGTCAGTGGAGGAAGGGTCGTGTGGATGGGAGTCAGTGGAGGAGGGGTCATGAGGAAGAGAGTCAGTGGAGGAGGGGTCGTGTGGAAGGAAGTCAGTGGAGGAGGGGGTCGTGTGGATGGGAGTCAGTGGAGGAGGGGTCGTGTGGAAGGGATTTAGTGGAGGA